TGCATTAAACTTATATAGTGCCTTTGGCAGAACTGACATCTTGACTATATTGAGTCTTCCAATCCATGAGCATGGGACATTCCTCCATTTGCTGAGGCCGCTCTTGGTTTCTTGTAATAGTGTTCTGTAGTTTTCCCCGTATAGATCTTTTGTTCTTTTAGTCGAGTATATCCCTAGAGATTTCGAGTTGTTTGAGCCCTAATAAAACGATTAAAAAAATTTTTTAAAAAACAAAATAAATGTATGTGTTGCAAATGATTACCATGGTCAGCAGCTAACCAACAATTCAGAGTGGTTCCAGTCTATCGAGAGGCACCTTGGAAGCAAGGCCTGGTTACCATCTACTATTAAAAACTCAGTCATAAGAATGCTTTCAAATATAGTTCTATTTGTGGCACACGGGAGATCACCAGTCAGATTGACTCAACACCAAGTGGTGCTGGTGGACAAGGAATGTGCTACTTTTGCAATTTTTCTATAGCTCTAAAATTAGTTTAGATAAGCACTTTAAAAATCTCTTGGTCTGTGCTGCCCTGTTTTACAATGGAAGAACAATTTCATTTTTGTCCCATCATAACTTGAATTTAATTTAAAGAATAAAGCTGTAAATTCAAGTTACAATTTTAAACACCGAGACTATATGGGGCAGTACAATTATATTTGGTTCAGCCAAAGATATTAAAACAGGTTATCTTTGCTTCTACCATTATCTTATTCTAGGAGGAAAGATCTATTTGAACGAAGTAACATGAACTGCATAAACATCACGTTCTAAATTTTATGAACGTGAAACCATATTTAACGACAGTACTCTCTGAAAGACGACCACGGTAACACTACAATAAAGGATGCTCTGTTTTGTACTTGTAAAGGGAGGGGAATAATCTAGCCCCAAAGGCTTACCTGAATAACAGTCAGGAAAGCTTGCTCCACTGTGTGGTGGGATTGGAATTCTTGGGTTTTGCGGGGGGTGGGATAAGTGAAAAACTGTTTCTAACCACAAAATATATGCAGAGTTGATAAAAATTTATTAAAGGAAAAAAACCTCCATTTTTAAGTGATTTCTCAAAATCAGACCCCTGTTCTGGATTATCCATTAACCAGTAAGGATTAAATCTCACCCCCTTATTAAAATACATATTCATAAAAAACTTTACAGTTATGCTGTTCTAGTTACAAATAGCTTCTACTTTTCTAGGACATAATTTCACTTTGTTTAAGCAAGAATTCATTAAAGAAGCTATAAATAACCTTTAACTATTTAGCCATGAATAGAGGGTGGACTGGCATTGATGGCTTATTTTAGTACTAATGCAGACTGCTTTTTAAAAGCTACATTTTAGCATGCATCAAGCTAATGATTACACTTGCCGTGCAATTTCCAATGTTGGAATAAATTTCTTTTTAAATAGTTTGGCAAAAAGTAAATATTTTACTTCAGCTATTTACTAGTACGAAAGTAACCAAAGAGAATGACATGTAGACAGTTTAAGAATTCTTGACATAAAATTTTTATTTTTTGGTAGACATCTTACCTCTTCCCTCTAAAACATGTTTCCAGTTAAAGCTATACATATTAGGGGAGTAATGCCTGAATTACACAAATTCAAGGACTGATTGGGCAGTATGTGGAGCATACACACAAATAAACTGCATTCCAATCTGAATCAAAGTTCACAAGATTTTAGAAAGCATGGTTCATAAAATTTTTACTTGGGGAAAAGAAAAAAAAAAGATTTTACAAAATACCATTCTTCCAGTCACAGACTTTCCCACAGGGTACATGACGCTTTCTGCCTAAGCGTTTATAGCACATTCAGAGGGAAGAGGTGCTTTGAAATAGCCATCTAACGGCAAAACCTACAACTAGGTAGATTTTCTTTAAAAGTGCATTTAAAATGCTAAAGCAAGTAATGAAATATAATTGTTGAACCTATCTGAAAATTTTAAAGTTTCTTTAAAATGGTCCATATGGTATTCAAGACATCACAGCTGGTACAAAACTGCCTGTATTTCGTTCAAAACACAAAAACAATACATGTGAACAGTATTCTTTTAAACTCATCTGAAATGCTCCCACTACATCATAAGGCAAGCTCAGATGAGTGTTGACAGTATTTAGGGAATTAACAAAACAAATTCAATATTAAAGTAGACAAATATTTACTTAAATGTTCTTTGATTACTCATCCTACTGCTTGAGTGTCTAGTTTGTTAACTGTTCATATCCCCCAATTGGGCTGTGAGGTCCATGATGCCAGAGACTGGACTGTATGCATTCCCCTCTCCCCGCAACAAAGCCTTCTTGGATTCCCTGGCTAGATCACATCTGCTCCACTCCCCAACCCCACCCCGGGATCTACCATCTTGGCCTACTCGGTGACACCAGTTGTCTGGGGACAGTGTGGTAGTCTCCTAATCTGGTGTCAATTTAAGGATGAAGAGTGTAGGGGTGGAGTCTAGGCTGTCAATCTGGAGATAGCTAGTGAGACTCTGTGGGCATGGTCTTCTGAGAATTCTGGGAAATTTGGTACGTCATCCTTGGAAGTGGAAGCCACCTCTCTCTGTCTGCTACTCCCTCGGCGATATTGCAGAAGACAAGCTACATGGATGCAACCAGACCTCTGAAGCCACGTAGAGACTCCTGCCGGCGCTAAGATGTTTGCAATGCCACTGGACCCAAAGACTTTCTACGCACTGGCCTGTGATCGTCCTGCATTTGGCTTCATTGCATGTGTTTCGTGAGTCTGAAGAGGACTTTACAGATTGGTATCGGACATGTGGGCTAATCTCAGACTTATGGCCTTGGACTGGACTGGCTGGGATGTTTTCTCAATGTTCAACTCCTCTTGCATATGAAACTCTTTCTTATACACATATGCGTGTTTATGAATTTGTTTCTCTAGTCTACCCAGATGAACACAGCCGGGGACAAATGTGTCCCCACTGGACTGTGACCTCCATGAGAGCCTGGGCAGGGGCAGGGCTTTCATGGTGACTGCTGTGTCCCCCGTCCCCAAGAGACATTCAGCAAAGATTGGAGGCTCAATGTGAGTATCCTGACCCCAGAGAAATTGTTCCACCTGCTGCCATTCTAGAGACATAACGGAGGCCCATCCGGATGTCTGTAGTCTCAGCTGCCTCTGCTTTCATACCAACTGAGCCCAGCCTGGCTCAGCAGCTTGCCCTGTTGTGCGTTACTAGCTGTCTCTAGAACACTCTAAGCCAGCAGTTCTCAACCTGTGTGTCTCGACCCCTTTGGGGGTCGAATGACCCTTTCACAGGGGTCACCCGATTCATCACAGTAGCAAAATGACAGTGATGAAGTAGCAACGAAAAGAATTTTATGAAAAAAAGAAAAGAATTTTTTATGGGGGGGGGGGGGTGTCACCACAACATGAGGAACTGTATGAAAGGGTCACGGCATGAGGAAGGTTGAGAACCACTGATCTAGGCTCTCAGAGATCTAAGCCATGTCACCAACCTCCCTGCTTTCTCCAGATTGGACCCCAAAGCCCAGAACGAGAGAGAGAGAGAGAGAGAGAGAGAGAGAGAGAGAGAGAGAGTAGCAGGGCAGGGGGTGGGACCCTGGGGTGCCGACTCCAAGCCAACTGGGCTCTTTGGGCAAAACATGGGTCTCGGAGCCAGAGGTTCTTACTTCAGGGCCACACTAGGGCAAGAAAGCCTAGAACAGGGAGTCAGCTCTCTCTCTCTCTCTCTGCCTCAGTTTCCCCATCTGGAAAGGGGTTTGTCCGCTAACCTGCTGCCCTTAGACCTCTCCTAGGAGGTTGGTTTTGAGAACACTGACACAATTCTACAAGAGAGAAGGGATTTGAAGCAGTTCTACACGGAAGTGCTTAGAATGTTGCTGGGCGGGGCCAGGGCTCAAGGAAGATTGCAGCAGCGGTGGTGGCTAGCTGCCACGGAAAGGCTCCCGGACTCCCAGCTACCCCGTGCTGATGAGGCTTTCTACTTCTGTAAAGATTTACCGTCTCAGAAGCTCAGACTACAGTGTGTGGTAGAGAACGGCTCCACACACTTCTCGTGGCTGCCGTCTTTGGGGAAGCAGTTTGCCAGACCTTTCTTCCACGGAGCCGCCGACCAGGTTTGAACCGGCAACCTCTAGATGAGCAGCCGGTCACCAACCACTTGCGCTTGCCACCCACGATCCTTCAACCAAGATGAGTTCTTGTATCCCTTCCTTCCTATGAATGGTGGCATAGTGGTTGTTTCCTGGGCTGCTAACTGCAAGGTCGGCAGCCTCAAAGCACCAGCTGCTTTGCAGAACGATGGAGCTTTCTACTCCTGTAAAGAGCTGCAGTCTCGGAAACTCACAGGGATAGTTCTACCTTGTCCTATAGGGTCACTGTGAGCCGGCTTCGACTTGACAGTGAGTTTGGTTTGAGAGACCCTACAGGACCAGGTAGAACTGCCCCTTGGGGGTCTCCAAGACTGTAGCTCTCTATAGGAGTAGAAAGCCTCAACTTTCTCCCTCAGAGGGACTGGTGGTTTCAAACTGCTGATCTTGTAGTTGGCAGCCCAGCGCAAAACCCACAATACCACCAGGGTGACTGTGAGTCAGACCGCATTCAACAGCAGCGAGTTTTGCGTTTGAGATGAGTGAGCACATACTACGTGCTCAAAACCTTTACAAGTTATTGTGTAGCCCCGTGACTCAGAGATCCTGAAACCCATCTCTCAGACGTGGAAAGTGAGGCTCAGGCAAAGTGACTTGTGCAGGGTCTCCAGCCAGTCAGAGGCTGGGCTGGGCTTGAAGTCACTCCTCTCTGCCTCTCAACCATCACGAACAAATAAATACACAATAAACTCAATCCAGCCCCCTGCTGTGTCCTCCACTGACAATGCTGTCCTAGTTCATTCATGCTGTTCCTAACTGTTCAGTTCTCAGTTCACAAGCCCCCGCCCCCTCAGAGAAGCTCAGCTACTCCCCTCCCAAGACCTGATGTCTGCTTGTGTTATCAGTCACATGGGGGCATCCTGCTGATTTAATCACTGACTGAGGCCCTACCCTGGTAAGGTCAAAGGAGAAAGGATCTGACAGATGGCAGGCATTGGGTAAACACGTGGGTCATTCCTGAACGATAAAAGGCCACTACATCCAGCCTGGAGGCCTCTGCTCATTGCTGGGCACCATGGTGTTAATTCTGATTCAGAGCACCCCTTACAGGACAGAGCAGATCTGCCTGGTAGAGATTCCGAAGCTGTAATCTTTCTGAAAACTGACTGCCCTGCCTCCTCTTTCACGGAACAGCTGGTGGGATAAACAGCAGAATTAACCCATGGGTTAACTAACATCCAAGCACGTAGCCCTTGTGCTACCAGGGATCCTTATTTATTTTGGGAGATGGGGTGGGGTGGGGTAGGAGGCGAGGAATTACAACAAAAGGATACACCCAGTCCAGCTTGAGCCGGCTGGCTGGCAGCTCCGATCTCGTGTCCAGGCTGTAGGTGGGCGCCAGCTCATCGGGGATCAGCATGGGCACAGGACGGCCCCTCAGGAACATTTTCACAGAGCCCTCCTCTGCGGGACACGCCCAGAGTTCAAACACAAACTAGAACCTCCATCCCTCTCCCCTCTCCCTTTGGGACAAGTGGAGAAACTGAGGCCCGACAGGCCAACACCCAGTAACCTGGTGGTCCCTGATCCAGCCCCTGCAAGTCTCCCGGACTCACCCATGCTGAAGAGAACTTCTTTGGCTTTGCTGCCAGGAAAGGCCAAAAGTAAAAAAGAAAAAAGAAAATTAAATTAAAAAGTGCCTTAGGAGGCAGGCCTGAATAAGGGGGCGACCGCTGGCCCAGCGCCCAGCCCAGCCCTTCCGCCGTCGCCGAAGACACCTGCGCCGCGGTAGGAGCGGAGCGGAGCGCTGGCTCTCTGCAGGCCGTGTGCTTTGCTCGGTCGAACACGCAGAGCCTAAGACACAGGCCCAGAGAGGCAGTGATCGCCCAAGATCACACAGCACGAAGTGGCAGGGACGTGATCCTGCAAAAGGAGAGCCACCCGGCACCCCTCCCTCCAAATCTGCACGACGCTCCCACCCCACCCGCCCCACCCAACACCTCCCATCCCGAATCCCCTGCGCCCCAAACTTCAGGTCGCCGCCGCCGGGGACACGGAGAGAGTTGAAGGGAAGGGGCGAGACGCTACATGCCCACCGCTCGCGGGAGAGGGTGAGCGCTAGCCCGCCTGGGGGCCTGGGAAGGGGGAGACCCGGGCTGAGGACCCCCGAGTGTGGGGGCAAGTGGGGGGTCGGCGAGAGGGTCTCACCGGGCTCCAAAGCTACTCATGGCGGCTGCTGGCGGAGTTTCGGGGCCGGGGGTGGAGCCGGGATGGGCCCCGCCGCTTCCGGCCCCAGGAGGCGCTGCTCCGCCCCGCCCAGCCCGCGCGGCCGGACCTGGGAGCTGCAGGATCCCACCCGGCCACTTCCTGGGCAGTGGGGTCCTGATACCAGGTTCTTTGGGGGCCGGGGGAGTGGAGGTGGCTGGCAGCATGGTCTCAGGAGCGCAGCTGGCTCTTTTCCAACCCCAATTCCAAGATTTCCCCAGTTCCAAGCTATATGCCACGGGATCTCTCTCTGCCTCAGCTAACTCATTTTAAAAATGGGATGAGAGGATCAACCTCCTGGGAGGACTGTTGAGAGGACAGGGCATTTGACGTAAAGTCCCTGGCACAGTGCGCTGTACAAGGGCTTGCTCTTTGGGCAGGGTCGCAACAGGTGGTTTTCAGACCCCGGACCACCTCAGTCCCACCCAGTCGTCAATCCATGACCACGCCCATCGCTGCAGGCCTTCACTCCCAGGTGGGGCCCGCCCAGACATTCACCTTGGCCCCGCCTCCAGGGCTCAACAGCGCCCCGCACTCATATCACACCCAGTTTCTCCACCAGCTTGTCTCCAGGGTGGAGAAAATAGAGCAGTCTCTCGGGCTTCTGACCCCACCAGGCACGCTGACCACGTGGTCCAGTCCCCACCCGATCTTTAGGCTCCGCCTCCTCATGTTTGACCACGCCCCCAAGGACCCCACCCAACCTTCAAACCTGGATTCTATCCTCCTGGCAGGGCCCGCCCTGACACGCCCCCATCTGGTCTCCGTAGGCGTGGCCCGCACACACTCCAGGATCTGATTCGGCCCAGGCTAACACTGGTCACGCCCCCATACCTAGTCACGCCCCTTGCTCTGACTCCGCCCTACCCTGCAAAACTTTCAGCACCCCTCGTGCTGAGAGCTTTACTTCACCTTCGTGGTCACGCCCACAAACCTGGCTCCGCCCCGACTTCCACCCCGACTCCTCCTACTCATTCCGCTCCCTGCCGCCTCTAGATCGCCCCCCACTCTCCAAATCTCCAAGCAGATTCCTCGCTTTCAGAAATATCTGACCCCTATTGGGAGGTTCAGCGCCTTGACCCGACCCCTGACACTCACCCTTCTTTCTTGGCGCTGCAATTGCTGCTGGAGGAAGTGGTGCGACTGCGGGGGTCCTCGCGGCGCACCGAGGCCAGGCGCTCCGGTGACAGATAGCGGCGGCCACTGCCGAGAGAGAGCACGCGGCTGGGGCGGAACCCGAGAGGCCGGCTGGCTAGCGGGCCCTCCCGGCGGGAGTCCCTCCCAGCGCCACAGCAACAGCCCACAAGGTCTTGGAGGAGACTGAGCGTCCCAGCTTTCCAAGTCTTACCTGCGCCCGGAGGTCGCCTCCTTCTTGGGAGAAGAGGGGGACGTGGCATAGCCGCCCACGCGGCGCGGGGGTCCCGAGCCATTGAGGTGCGTCCTGGTGGGCAGGCCTTTCAAGAGCTGACAGACTGGCCAGGTGGGGTTAGAAGTCAGAGCACGCTGAGTGTAAGGTCTGGGGCTCAGCCGCGCCCCGCCTCCTCACCCCCCTCCCATCCACTTCCTTCAAGCGGGCATACCTGAAGCCGTGGTGCCGAGACGCGGGGGTGCCCGACCCTTGGGGGTGCCCCGCGCGCGCAGCGTCGCGCCCTGTTCTTCGCAGGCCCGCAGGCGACGCAGCGCGTCCGCCAGGGCCGCCTTTAGCACCGCCAGCTCGTCCTCTTGCAGCTGCAGCCGCTGCTCCAGCGCCGACACGCGGTCGTCCACCTCCATGCCGCTGGTCCCCGACAGATTGTCATCTGGGGGGGCGGGGCGGACAGGGACGCTAGCCCCAGGGAGCACTGGGGAGCTCCAAGGCCAGAGGCGTCCCTCCCACTTCCCCAAGTCCTCCCGGAGGCCAGCCGCACACCCCCCTTGGTGCGGAGACGCTTGGAGATCAGCCAAAGAAGATGGCTCAGAACGGGAAGTCCCCGCTGCTCCCCGCTCCTTGCCCCACACTCGTCTCTCAATCGCAGCACCCTAGCCGTGTCACCTTGGGGAAGTCCCTTCCTTTTAAGATGCAAGATTCCAGGAGCCGGTCGAAGAGCCCTGGCCCCTGGTTTTACAAGTCGATGACGAAGATGCTGAACATGTCTGAGTGATACCAAGACTTGAACGCTGAAACCAACCCACTTCGAGGAACGCCGACGTCCTAGAAATGCTTCCCAACCTTCTCTGACGAATCTCAATATTCCGTAACGGCCACTGTCCCTGAGACTTGCTAAGCCAGAAGGTTCCTTCCCACCACCGCCTCTTCACCCCAAGGGGTTGACCCCAGAGTTATTAGCAAGGACAGGACTGGCGAGACCCCTGGCGGCGGACTTGGGGTTGCAGACAGCACATCGCGTCCCGGGAGAAAGGCTGACTGGGGTCTGATACCCAAACTCTCTTCCCGAGCTGATGCTCCCCTCCTCCGCGCCCCCTCTGCATTTCTTTTCTGTACCCCACGCTCCAGACACCGCATTCATCTCCTGTCCTTACCAAGGCTGCAGCCAAATGACTCTGCACTTCTGCCCACCCCACCCCTCGGGCATTTTCCCTCCCCCCACCTTCCCTCCCAGACCACTCATACCCAGGCTCATGGCTAGTTCTGATTCGACCCAGAAGGGCCCTGGCTCCCAGCCCGGTGGAAGTAACGGAGGTGTCCTATGCAGGGACAGAGCGTGGAGGG